CTCTGCAACTTTGTTTAAGGAGATGTAATTATAAACTACGTTTAGCATACAAATTATCTTAGCTTTTGTTAAACTATCTTTTGAAAAATATCCAACAATGCTATTAGAATGATTAACTGACGGTCATGACGATTGGCTGGTTTTCAAGATTACTGGCGTACTTACATTTTTTGAAACTGACGAGCTGGATGCATCATTTTTTGAAAAAAAGTCCTGAATATTGCTGATTTTGCTTACAACTTTTTTTTCGTTTTGATTAACATCTTTTTCATGACTTTTAACGGCAGTTATTTCCATATTACTCAACTCGAAAATTATTTGCATAAATTGCAGTTGGCTTGGTATTTACTTATGTCTGATAGTCTTACCCATTTATAATCGTTTGTCCACTCTGGATTAAACATTACTGTAGCCTGACCGGACATTTTAATAATTTCAATACTGCAGAGTCTTGCGAATTATAGTTAATTTATCTCGTAGCCAAAATAAACACTTTTGTATATATATCAACCTACGAAAATCAAATGAAAAAATGTTATTCGGAACATGGTAAAAATTATGTGTTGTCGACAAATAATCTAACTCACCTTCTTTAGAAATCTTGACTAGCTCACTTTTCAATTCATTTCTTATTCCTTTTTTAACAATGCAGTAACCTAAGAGCAATTTAAACTTCTAAATAAACGAAAGTCAAGCAACACAAAAAAATTAAAATAAGCTTTTTTGTATATAAGGTTGTTAAAATAATTTAAGAGAGAAAGAATCAAGTAGGTGTGTATTATATTATAATTATTTTTCACCCAACAGTATAGGCAGATAAATTAATTACAAAAAAATGCAAGATCTTGGACAGAAAGTATTACTGTTAAACGTACGTAAGAATTTTATTTTTTGCCTAAAAATATTATTTAGCTAGGAATATCAATATAGATTTTTATAATGTGTTAATACTCCTAATAGTATGTTATTATGTGATTTTAATTGGATTAACCAATCCCGAATAAGATCAAGCAAGAGAAAGTTTGTAAAATCAGAACGGTGAAACAATAAACTTAATTTATTAGGATTTCTGAATATTATAAAAACTCTAAGCTTTATGTACCGACTGCTTACTCAGTTGCTAACCTGAAAAAAAGCAGGACAAAAGAATAGTAAAGCTAAACTCACTTTTTATACATTTTTTCTAGATAACAGTGACAATTACACTTTTTTTAGGACCAAGTAAAAAAAGTCAACAATGCAATAAATATTTCTGACAGACTACCAAGATTAATCGGAGAGAAAATAAAGTAAAATAAAGTAATTCTAAATAACTAATAAAGCATATTATTTTTAATTTACTTCTATGGTCTATTGACATTTAACGTCTAAAACCGACTATAACCTACAATTTTTTCTCACGATAACAACACAACACCCACCGTTACAGCCAACTCTATCTATCTATCTAGTTGCTTTTCTTTTTTTCCTCTCGCACATCAAGATCACAAATTTCTATTGCACTTAGCGTTAAGCCATGTTTGATCTCAAGGTACAACATATAATGAGGATTCGAATACTTAGATTAGATAGTGACATGTTGTTTGTTTTAACTATCGACGTCGTAACTTGAACGGAGAAGCTGCGGTAACATAGAGCACGTAAGCCGTGAAGATGCTATCTCTTTCTTAATCTTGTAGCTTTAGGCTGCTCCTACATAAGAGCGTGCAGATGCGTGCACCCACGTTTATTGCGAGTGCACACATCGAGACATTCGATATTCGTCGATATTCTAGTAATAATCTGATAAATTGTAGTAGTATTATAGTATTTTACTGTAGTGTCGATCAGTGTCGAGTGTCTCAATATGTGCTCCACACACGTGAACGCGGATGCACGCTTTTGTGTAGGTACAGCCTAAGTACGGCAACAAGTCTATCTATACATAATTAGTCGAATATATATATATATATATGTAACTTGTAGACATAGGTATACTCTTAGATACAGTATGCCATCTGTCGGATCGTAGGGCTCTCATACGGATTTCGTACTCTACGTGACCGCAGTGCAAGCACACTATGAGTCAGAGGCGCCAACATCAAAAAAAGCTTAAATTTTTGAATCCACTAATAAACAATTACACCTAATTGATAGATGCATGTATCTTATAAATAATGCAAACAATCCTGTTGCTATCCTCAGAGTACCTTAGTTCAGCATTTTTATACTCTTCTGTTACCATTTCTTATTACGTCTTTTCATTCAGCCAACCACATCTGTCTTCCACTCTCTTTCTCTTTTTCGGACATCTCTGCCTTCACCTTTTCTACATCAGCCTCTTTTTTTCTCCTCTCTCTCACAGGTTACTTGCTTAAAATTATCTTATCCAACGTAATTTGTTTTGCATCACTTAATGTACCTATCTCATTCACCTTTGCTCTATCCTTTTTTAACGTCTCATTTTTTCCTTTTAGCTTATCACCTACATTTATTGGTTTTACCAGTAGATATTTCGTGCACCCATTTTTCTCTTCCATCTTCTCCTGCCTCGTGTTCATCGTGCGTCTCTTGACTGTGCAGTATTGTAATTTTCTAACCTTAAATCCGTTCTCAGTTTTCCCAACCTTTTTTGCCGTAAACTCATTCTTCAGTTATCAAGCTTTGTTGTTCTTTACTTAGTACATATGTTAATAATTATTTCTCTCTCGTCGTTTTTTTATTTTCATTACCAGTAACAATAAATCGCCCTACAGCACAGATACCATTGACTATACGTCTGCATACCGCAGCGTCCTCACGCGAAGTCCCTTTTTTTATGGCAAAATAATGGCAAAAAACGTACACACATATACGTATCTTCCTACACTATATAGTTATTTAGGAGGGGCTGTCAACAGTCCACTTATCTGCCCCTTTAGTCAACTCACACCCTTCCTGCAAAACAGCAAAATTCCTCTCATTACTCTTAAAAATAAATACAAATAAAATCTGATTTAGCTTCCTTTCATTATCCTTCTACACCCCTTCATTCTCTCGCTTTTTTCTCTTTTATTATTTTTAAAAAAGATAATAGTAATATCGTAATCTGTTTGTACAGGGTTGACACGCATATCACGTAGGCGGTCCAAGCCATATTAGTACATACGTGTGTATACAAGTTATGCTGAACGCACTCACCGTGATCTGACTTATTGTGACAACTTTTCAGTCTACTTCTATACTTTTAAATAAGCATACCACGCCACAAAAAGAGCAGACAATTTTATCCATTTTTTGTCTTCGTAAACGTGTATACATACACTCTAAATCTTACTGTTACAATATCTATGTTACTACTTATTGCACACATCATTTTTTAAAGACAATTTTTAGTTCGAATGCCATGTCGTCATTTGAATGGTTAAACATTAATTAAAACAAATTTTTTCTAAAAAAAAATCTATGCGACAAAATATCATTATTATAAGGAATATTAAAAAATTGCCAGTGATATTTCGTCTTAACTTAAATCAAGTAAAGTATTTGATACAAAAATCGTTTCCAAGTATGAAAAAAACAAGTAACAATGACTTTAATTATAATTGTGATTGTATTTTAATTTTTATGCAATTCAATGTGATTGATCTTTGGGAAACCTCACCAAATAATATACTTGACCTATTTTAACTAATCACACGGAAATAAAAAGGTTTTTTATCAAAATTAAAACATGCTTCTTTAGCGTCCCGCTAAGTAAGAAAAATATCTCAATGTTTTTTTACTTAATCCACCCAATAAAAAATATTCTTCGAAAAGTAGTTGGTTATACTAATAACCTGTTAGTCGTTAGAGTTGTACTTCTGGGCATCTTACTAACAAGAACCTCGTTGATATGCAGTTGTTAATCCACACCAACAGACACTTTGTGGTAGCTAGCGCTACTTAAAAATCGTTTCAAACTTATTTCAAGGCTTATTTAACAACAAATTGTTAAAAAAATTTTTTGAGGACGGATTTGGATTCAAGATGTTTCTGTACATGCCAGTTATCGCTGTTGAAATACTTTTGAATGTCCATGTATGCATAAAGTAAAGGTTTTAGATGGAAAGGTCAGTTTTTTACATTTTTTCTTAATGTAGATTATCTTAAAGGTTTTTTCATGGGTGGATCGTTTTAAACATAAGTGAGTTATCAGCCTACTGATAAGCAAATAAAATTATTAGATTCCTCTGTACGAAATTTATCCACTGCATGCAATTTGAAAGTTAAAAGCTTATAGGTTCTTTCAAACTATGGTATTATGATGTCCAGCTGTTGTGGGGTTATGGTTATTGAATTCACGTGTTGAGCGATTAAAGGCTCACATGATCGAGTGATTCTGAGAGGTTGTGGGAGAAGTTTCGATGGATATAGAAATTTTTCAATATTTATGGCTTTTGAAGTGTTTTTCAAATAAAAAGCCCACGAAAAAAATGTAAATTTGAACTTTCCATCCAGTCATTAAAGCTGCTCAATATTTTATAATTTTTGTTAGTGTGCCATGTTAAAATAATTTGTTTAACTTATAAAACTATAGATTTTACCTATTATAATACTTGTATGTTATCTAAACATTCTGATGGCCTAGACCAGGATTGTACATTTTGTTCATTTGAGTTTTTAACAAACATAAAAACAGCATGATTCTTTTATCTTTTATTTCTAAAACATATTTACTACTTATTGTTAAGGGTGCAGTAGAGAGAAAAAGAGAGATAGAGAAAGAGAGACAGAAAAATAAGATATTGTAAGGATCATCCAGTTTCTATTGTGTTGAGGTACATTAATATATACGTGTAATTGCGACCATTGATTATTGACTTCAATTGAAAAGAAAAATTGCGTATAACCAAGCAGATTTTTTTATGGATAAACTATTAAATTCGACAATTTTAAAAACTGCATATAGTGTAGATTGTATTTTTTATACGAGTAATTTGTTCAATTAAAACTGAGAAAAGCAAGTAAAACCAATGAAAGACTAAAACGTCAAGACTTACGTGTTTAACTTTAAAAAGGAAAGGTACACCAAATGTAGCAAATACGTCTTTCTGAAAGTGTGCCACAGGCACTAGTAATTCATCCTCAGACAAAATTAATTCATCTTTTGGTATTTCTTCGATCCTATAAACTTTTGAGCCGTTTGTATTTAAACTCTCAAGAAGAACATCTTCTTTTGGACCTGGTTGCAATTTGTTACTAACAATTTCAAGGATTCTTAATTTCCCTGAACTATTTTCTGATAAATCAACTTGTTTTTTAGCCTCTTCTAACAAAGTCAAAATAGTTCCATTTTTGTTTGGATACAGAATAATCTCTTTTTCTTCCTTTAAGGATGGGCTAACCCATATACATTTAAATTGTTTTTTATTTTCAAGTTCATTTACGTGGATACTGAGTTGCTGATAAAAAATTTTTTTCGTCTTTGGTTTACAGCTAGCAACTAACTCTTTCAATGTTCCATCAAAAGTACATTTTAAAGGATTGCCAGGCAAATCTTTGTAACTGAAATAAAACAAAGATATTAGTTTTAGAGTAGTCAGAACTGTTAAAAATATAATAAATTTATGTTGTTAGAAATAATATATACATTTGTTAGGCATGCTTTATTATCAATTTTATCAAGTTACTTAGAAGCACTCTAATTATTGTACACATTAATACAAATTATATTACGTTCAAGCTCAACTTTCAAATGTTATTATCTGTATCCTGTAATGAAAAACCATAAAAATGGAATACAAGAGTAGAATATTAAAGTAGGATAACTGTGCACAAATCTGAAGCAGAGATTAAGTACTCTGTCAAAGTTGAGTTCCTACACATTATCTGTATCAAAAAAGATAGCAGTAATAAGAAATAAGCAGCATTTATGATTTTATGGTTTTAACAAAGCTTAAGAATACAAAAATTGTTTAGTAATCTATGCAGAGGATGATGTACACATAACACAATTTTTCAAACATGTTGAAGTCACCCTAAATTTTATGAGATTCACACCTCATGGAGCAATAACTTTGAAAAAAAGGCCATTTAGAATCCGCTATAAGGCTTTAAAAATACTAAACATTTGACTTATAGTTATGGAAATCTCTACTTTTTAGTGAATTAGCACAACTTAAGATCATTAGCTAACTGTCTTGCAGCAACCTAGAGTGTGATGAAACAGATTTTCTTTTTAACGATAAAATGGCACTGGCTGTAAGTTCGATCATTCAATAAAAATTTTGAAGTTAAACTTCTATAGGCGCATTATAAGCGGAAGTAAATCAACGATTTAAGATCTTGACCTTGAGAAGAAGTGTGACAGAAGTGGATTTTGCTTGATTCTCTCCCTTTGCCCTGCCCCTCGTGACGTACTTCCGGTTGCGTCTAGACTACATGATGCCACACCACANTATACTTCTATAGGCGCGTTATGCGCGAGGGTAAATCCACGATTTCAGATTCAGACCTTGAGAAAAAGTGTGACGGAAGTGGATTTTGCCTGATTCTTCCCCACCACCTAACACCACAACATACATTTTGAATTTCATGAATTGTATTTCTTTTAACCGATTGGAGAAAAAAAAACAGTTTCTAAAGAGATTTGAACCCCCGACCTCTCACTTTCTCGCCACGGCCCTTACCTACTTTGCTATGAGCAGGCCCAACATATGAAAATTAACTACTTCATCTTATTTTACAGTTTGAAACTTATTTTTTACAGAAATTTTTATTTAATGTACAATAATTTATTTGGTATAGTTATTAATTTAGTAAATAAACAATTACTTTGTTTAAGGAGATGTAATTATAAACTACGTTTAGCATACAAATTATCTTAGCTTTTGTTAAACTATCTTTTGAAAAATATCCAACAATGCTATTAGAATGATTAACTGACGGTCATGACGATTGGCTGGTTTTCAAGATTACTGGCGTACTTACATTTTTTGAAACTGACGAGCTGGATGCATCATTTTTTGAAAAAAAGTCCTGAANTTTTTTAAGAATTTTTCATTCGTGATTCAAGTGGTTTTTTGATTTGAGAACGTTCTTCACATAGTTTGTGGGGGAAAGTTCAGAGAAATGTCAGGAATGCTAAAGTGTAAAGTAAAGCTAGCGATTCTTTTTTTTATGTGGATGTACTCATATACATGCTTTCACGCACACCTTATCCCCTCTTCATAAATTTATTCAAAATTTAATTTGTAGGTCTATTTGAGAATTCGGTAGGTTTATCTAAAAGTAATCTTTTGTACCCAAAAAATTAGGAGATTCCGACAAATCCTATAAATAACATTTGATGTAATTTTTTCATATGGTTACAAGTGAAATATCCATTTTTTTTTAATGTCTCGTGTATAAAATAATGGTATAGTCAAACGAGCTGCAGATTTTGTGGGTATTTTTTATGCGATTTCAATATACGTTTGACTTTTGAATAAAATCTGTCCAAAAAACCTATAAGTGATGAACGTCTTGAAGGGACATTCACTGGCATGTAATACTACCCTATTGAAGAAAACTATATTATGGGATGATTTTCCTTAATTTTCTATATACAATTCTATTTTGGGTATTAAATATGGACGAGGAATAAGAGTGAGATAGTACGTGATAGATGTGAGGGCGACGTTATAGTAGGCAGTAGAAAATCACCTAATGTTGTTCTAAAATCACCGGAAGATTCGATGAAAGTACACAGTCTGGGACTGGCCAACCTATATATTATTTTTATTGTACTGTGCCGTAATACATTGTTTTTAATCAGTAACTTATTACATATTAGTTACAATCACACCCGATCAACGTAGGTATACTCATTCCCACTATAATTGCACCACCTTCGTACACAATATTGTTTCATAGAAGGTATTGTTATACTCAAAATTATAATGTTTGCCATATAATTTGCCATATATCACAGGAGTTAAAACTTTAGAAATCCGTCCATCATTAAAAATTTAGCATCTAATTTGCGTTTATTAAAAAATGGTTATCTGAATTATTCTGTTATACTTCTGGAAGTCACGAACCATAAATCTACCGTAAATTTCAAACATTCGAAATAAAAGACACCAAATAGCAGCAACAAAGTGGCGGAAACAACATGGAAATCGCAGAAAATTTTTATTTTTTAAAAATTATACTTCTATAGGCACGTTATGTACGAGAGTGAATCAACTTGCCAACAATTTACCAATCCTCTAACTGTGACAAAACCGATCATACCATGGTCCCAGTGGGAGTATCTCCGGTAAAACACCTTGCCAGTTAAGTTGAAACTCTCTGCACCAACGGTGCATCTGTGTCCACTCGCCACTGTGCAGCATTTCTTCGGAGTAGATTCCGTATTTCAGGACGTCTTCTCTTCGCCAGTTAAGACGCCGCTCTCTGCCAAAGCATCAGATTCGGGCTAATTAGCATCCCCGGATAAGCCACATGTTTCAGGGACCACTTCTTGCCGGTAAGGTCAGTGATTCCTGCGTGACGCTTGACATTTGACCCATTAACCTCTACCTACAACTCTAACACTGTTTTGCATTTACCCAAGCCCGGAGATCTGTGGGACAAGAAAAAAAATCATGGAATTATTTTTTAAAAAATTTCACAGAAAAACCTGCCCGAAAACAGCTAGAAACGCATAAGAACTTTTTTTAGTGATGACAGTTTTTGAAAAAATCTGCACTCACCAGTGATCGAACCCACGACCCCTAGAATGGCGTTGTATCGGTACCAAGCAAGCTCACCACTGAGCCAACGCTACTTCCAGTTCGTAACTTTTTTTTTAATGTAAATATTTATTTACTGTTTATTAATTACTTAGATTTGATTATTGCTAAGTATGTACTTACTGAATATCGTGCACGATTAGGTTGACAGGAAATAATAAACACAATAGGACGACACTTAATTACGGAGCTCTTTATTGTATGTTTTATCTCTGATCCTCGTACGGACACACTCCTCACCTGCGGTACCAACGTATACACCACACGTACGAGCACGCTAACGCTTTCATCTTAATGATGCTCAAGTGCAACAAGTGAAGATCATGCAAGATTTTATTCTACAGACTTTCTGGAATTACTATTCGGTAGCCCCAGAACAGACAATGCTCTTCTTTTGATAATTCATTTTTTTTTTTTGCAAAATGTTTTTCTCAATCTCAGATAAATCTTTACTGTCGTTGGGCCAACCGAAAATACAAAATTTAATTACATGCAAGACCCCGGTCACGTTTCGTTTCTTTTACAACTGTTTTGTAATCTACAATTTGTGCTTCATCTATTAAAAAATACAATTGTGAATTTACTCTTTCAAATATTTTGGTTTTATCTTCGATTGGTAGTCTCAACAGTGCGTCACAGTTAACATTTCCACTTGACTTTATCCATTCGAAGTTGTAATCGAATCCTGAAAGGAAAATTGCCTAACGCTGCAGTCTCGATAGTGCTGTTTGTGGAATTCTTTTATTCGGGCTAAAAATAAGTTTAAGTGGCTTGTGATCTATACGTAAAATCACCTTGCGACTGAAAATGAAAGTGTAAAATTTTTTAAAATCCGAATACAATTTCCACCACCTCTTTTTTATTAATCTTCCAATCAGTGTGATATTGTAAGAATCAATGAAATTGCTGCCATGCACTGAGCTACCCCCACTACCAATGTTGCTTACGTCACTTTCTGAGTCGCTGCTGTTTTTCTCCAAAAATTTATTTGATAAATTTTTCTTTTTGATGCAGGCTCGTTCGAAATGTCCTTTTTTTGTGACAAAAGTCGCATTTTTTGTCCCAGTATCTGCACTTCGTCGTCTGGTAACCATTTTCCACAGCTAAAGCATGTAATTTCTGCTGTTAACCGCTTACATACGTTGTGTCCTGAATATGTCCTTGGCTGTGGAGATCGGCCTTGATCGTGTTTCTTATGACTTGAGGCAAAGCTATCTTGTTTATAAACTTGATTTGCTAACGTCTGGGCTGTGCCTGCGGCATTTTGCCCCGCCTCTTTTTTCGCTGAAGCTTCTTCCAACGTTAGTGAATGTTTTATTTTTAATTTTTAATAGTCTGAATCTGGTTGACTCATCCCAGATTCTACACGCAAATTGATCTCTCATCGATGTCTTCCAATTACCTTTAAAATTACAATTTATGGATAGTTGTCTCAACCTTGTGGCGAATTCAGCTACTGACTCATTCGACTCTTGTTTTGTTTTGTTTAATTTGCAGCGCTCAATAAGCTCAGATGGTTTTGGGGTTTAGTCACTTTGAGAGAAGTTTTACCAGCTCTTCGTAAGTCTTTTCGTTCTGTTTAGCAGGTATACATAACGCTTTGAAGAGTTTATACGTTGCTTCGCCTATGTGCGTTAGTAACACCGCTCTCTTCATTTCTACCTGCTCGATCTTTTTTGCGTGAAAATAAAGCTCCAACCGCTCTGTAAATGACTCCTAGTCATCCGCTTCCTTAAAAAAAGTTTAGTTTCCGACGCTATAGCATCCTCTTTGCTGTCACTCTTTCCA